GCTCTCCTTGTCCTCTGCTCCAGGATCTCCTTGCTCCTCCTCTGTCCCAGGCTCCCCTGCTCATTCTCTATCCTAGGCTCCCCTGCTCCTCATCTGGCCCAGACTTCTCTGCTCTTGCTCTACCCTTGGTTCCCCTTGTCCTCTGCCCCAGGCTCTCCCTGCTCCTTCTCTTCCCCAGACTCTTCTGTTCTTCCTCTACCCCAGGCTCCCCTGCTCTTCCTCTGCCCCAGGCTCCCCCTGCTCTTGCTTTGCCAAGGCTCTTTCCCTGCCCTGGGTTCCCCTGCTTTTCCTCTACCCTAAGCTCCCCTTGTTCTATGTCCTTGTCCTCTACCCCAGTTTCCCCTTGTGCCTCCTCTGCATCAGGCTTCTACTCTACCCCAGGCTCCTGCTGCTTCTCCTCTGCCCCAGGCTCATTTGTCCAAGTTCTGAACATAAATTACACTTATAGGGTGATACTTTAAAGAGAATTTCAAATTTAAAGTCAAAATAGCAAAACTAGAAAAATTATTGAAGTCAGCTATGCTTGCAGTTTGGCTACTTTTGAATTATATTCAAAATTGTCTTTGAATTCTTAATTTAGTGAATAACCCTGATAGATGTTTCCTCTGCTTGTCATCTACCTCGGCTTCCCCTTGTCCACTGCCCCAGGTTCTCCCTGCTCCTCCTCTGCCCCAGGCTCCCCTGCTCTTCCTCTGCCCCTGCCTGCTCCTCATCTGCACCAGGCACCCCTGCTCCTCCTCTGCCCCAGGCTCCCCTGCTCTTCCTCTGCCCCAGCCTCCCCTGCTCTTCCTCTGCCCTGGGTTCTCCTGCTTCTCCTCTGCCCCAGGCTCCCAGTTCTTTCTCTACTCTACGCTTCCTACTCTTCCTCTACTCCAGGCTCCCTTTGTACCAGGTTCCCCCTGCTCCTCCTCTGCCCCAGGCTCCCCCTGCTCCTCCTCTGTCCAAGATTCCCCTGCTCCTCCTCTGCCCCAGGCTCCCCTGCTCTTTCTCTGCCCTGGGTTCCCCTGCTCTTCCTCTACCCCAGGTTCCCCTTGTGCCTCCTCTGCTTCAGGCTTCTACTCTACCCCAGCCTGCCTCTGCTTCTCCTCTGCCCCAGGCTCATTTGTTTAAGTTCTGAACATAAATTAAACTTATAGGATGATACTTTAAGATAATTAAAAATTTAAAGTCAAAATAGCCAAACTAGAAAAATTATTGAAGTCAGCTTATACTTTGGAATTATATTCAAAATTGTTTTTGAATTCTTAATTTAGTGAACCATGATAGATGTTTGCCCTGCTCTTCCTCTGTCTCAGGCTTCCTCTGTTCCTCCTCTACCTCGGCTTCCCCTTGTCCTTTTCCCCATGTTCCCCCTGCTCCTACTCTTTTGCAGGTTCCCCTGCTCTTCTTCTGCCCATTCTCCTCCTCTGTCCGAGGCTCCCCTGCGCTTCCTCTTCCTCTGCTCCTGCTCCTCCTCTGTCCCAGGCTCCCCTGCTCCTCCTCTGTCCACTGCTCTTTCTCTACCCCAGACTCCCCTTATCCTCTGTCCCAGGCTCCCCCTGCTCATCCTCTGTCCCAGGCTCCCCCTGCTCATCCTCTGTCCCAGACTCTCCCTGCTCATCCTCTGTCCCAGGCTCCCCCTGCTCTTTCTCTACCCAAGGCCCCTCTGCTCTTCTTCTGCCCCATGCTCCCCCTGCTTCTCCTCTGCCCCAGGATCCCCTGCTCTTAGAAACATAGAAACATAGAATGTGACGGCAGATAAGAACCATTCAGCCCATCTAGTCTGCCCAATTTTCTAAATACTTTCATTAGTCCCTGGCCTTATCTTATAGTTAGGATAGCCTTATGCTTATCCCACGCATGCTTAAACTCCTTTACTGTGTTAACCTCTACCACTTCAGCTGGAAGGCTATTCCATGCATCCACTACCCTCTCAGTAAAGTAATACTTCCTGATATTATTTTTAAACCTTTGTCCCTCTAATTTAAGACTATGTCCTCTTGTTGTGGTAGTTTTTCTTCTTTTAAATATAGTCTCCTCCTTTACTGTGTTGATTCCCTTTATATATTTAAATGTTTCTATCATATCCCCCCTGTCTCGTCTTTCCTCCAAGCTATACATGTTAAGATTCTTTACCTTTCCTGGTAAGTTTTATCCCGCAATCCATGAACCAGTTTAGTAGCCCTTCTCTGAACCCTCTCTAAGGTATCAATGTGACGAGAGCAATCTCGCCACATTGCATTGGAGAAGCCTGGTTGCTCGCCTGCTGCCTTTGGATTATGGCCCCATGTTAAAAGACCTCTTTTCCCCAGCAGAAAAGACTTATTCATGCTTTTCTGCCCGGTGTTCGGTAGATTCAATCTACCGAACAAACGCATGAATGACTCGACCACCTGGGAGCTGGAGTGTGCCGGCAATTAGCCTCCCAGAAGCTGCGGTTAACCGCAGCTTAATTGACGAATACTGGGTGGCCGCCATTCGTATAACGAATACGAGGTCGCGCCCATTTTAAACACGCGAACGCACAGCGGTGTTCGACGCCTAACTCATGGAACTAAAAACGGACACAGTTTGGCGCGAACACCGCTGAAGCCGCCGACCTCCCTTCTTGTTCGGTGGAAGTACACGAACGGCCCGGTATTCGGTAGTTGTACCTGACTGCATTATGCCCCAGATAGGAATCCCATGGAGCTCATTCGTATGAGAACTGACTTTGTAAAGACTTTGGATCCATGGCGATTGAACTGTATTCGTGTGGTCTGAGCGCCATTCACTTAATAATGTGCGCTCAGACCTGAGCTATCTGGGGATATGTTAAATGTACAGTTTTATTGTAACGTGTCTTACATAGTGTATTTTAATAGTAATTCTTGTTTTGGTATCCCCACATGCATAATGGCGATTTGTCTTTGTCCTAGGAGATAATTGAATTACTTCTCAATTATCTCCAGGGCAGAGCGGAGGAAGCCAGGACTGTGGGAATACAATGTGACTGTGTGTCCTATTTTTCTGATTGTCTGTCTTTTGTCACAGTCTCCCATTTGGTCCCCTAGGGGAGTGTCCACCAGGTGGGAGACCTGCATAAATACTGGGCAGGTAGCCCTCGTTAAACAGACCACTGCTTGACCCTCAACACAGAGCCTTGTCTCGTCTTTGGGGGGATTTACTGAATGCTGATAGAGACTGATTGCTAGGAGTGTAAGCCTCTTGGATGCTTTTCCCATTCGTCTGCTAGCAGCTATTCGTATGGTTCCAGTTCGTGAGTTTGGAGTGCTATATTGTATGCCATTCAGGAGTTTGGAGCATTCCCTTACATTCGGTTCGGGAGTTTGGTGTTCTACAGTAGCTGTACCTGCATCTCTGAAAGGGGACGATCGCCTAAACGGTTTTAACCCCTTTGTGCAAAACGGTCCGTTACAATCAATATCCTTCTGAAGATACGGTCTCCAGTACTGTGTACAATACTCCAAGTGAGGTCTCACCAGTGTTCTGTACAATGGCATGAGCACTTCCTTTTTTCTACTGCTAATACCTCTCCCTATACAACCAAGCATTCTGCTAGCATTTCCTGCTGCTCTATTACATTGTCTGCCTACCTTTAAGTCATCAGAAATAATCACTCCTAAATCCCTTTCCTCATATGTTGAGGTTAGGACTCTATCAAATATTCTCTACTCTGCCCTTGGGTTTTTACGTCCAAGATGCATTATCTTGCACTTATCCAAATTAAATGTCAGTTGCCACAAATCTGACCATTTTTCTAGTTTACCTAAATCATTTGTCATTTGGCTTATCCCTCCTGGAACATCAACCCTGTTACATATCTTATTATCATCAGCAAAAAGACCTACCTTACCATCAAGACCTTCTGCAATATCACTAATAAAAATATTAAAGAGAATGGGTCCAAGTACAGATCCCTGAGGTACTCCACTGGTGAAAAGTCCAAGCTTCGAATATATTCCATTAACTACAATTCTCTGTTGCCTGTCACTCAGCCACTGCCTTACCCATTCAACAATATTGGAATCCAAACTTAAAGATTGCAGTTTATTGATAAGCCTTCTATGTGCAACAGTGTCAAAAGCCTTACTGAAATCTAGGTAAGCAATGTCTACTGCACCACCCTGATCTATAATTTTAATTACCCAATCAAAAAAATCAATAAGATTAGTTTGGCATGATCTCCCTGAAGTAAATCCATGTTGTCTCTGATCTTGAAATCCATGTGTTTTTAGATGTTCAACAATCCTATCCTTTAACATGGTTTCCATCACTTTCCCCACTACTGAAGTAAGGCTTACTGGCCTATAGTTGCCCAACTCCTCCCTATTACCTTTCTTGTAAATGGGCACAACATTCACTAACTTCCAATCTTCTGGGACTACTCATGTTAACAATGATTGGTTAAATAAATCTGTTAATGGTTTTGCTAGTACACCACTAAGCTCTTTTAATAGCTTTGGGTGTATTCCATCAGGTCCCATTGACTTATTTGTCTTTACTTTTGACAGTTGAAATAGAACCTCTTCCTCTGTAAACTCACGTGTAATAAATGACTCATTTATCCTTTTTCTCAACTGAGGTCCCTTTCCTTCATTTTCATCTGTAAATACAGAACAAAAATATTCATTGAGGCAGTCAGCTAGACCTTTATCCTCTTCTACATACCTTCCTTCTTTTGTTTTTAATCTAACTAATCCTTGTTTTACTTTTCTTTTCTCATTTATGTATCTAAAAAAATGTTTTATCCCCCTTTTTTACTGACTGCGCTATTTTCTCTTCTGTGTGTGATTTGGAAGCTCTTATAACTTGCTTAGCCTCTTTCTGCCTAATTTTATAGATCATTTTGTCTTCCTCACGCTGGGTTTTTTTATAATTCCTAAATGCTAACTTTTTGTTTTTAACTATTTTGGCCACATCTGTGGAGTACCAGAGTGGTTTCTTGAATTTTTTGCTTTTACTGACAAGCCTACTGCAATTTTCTGTTGCCTTCAATAGTGCAACTTTTAAATAATCTCATTTCTCTTGGACTCCATTTAAATTGCTCCAGTCTGATAATGACTCCTCTACCCATATTCTAATTTTAGAAAAGTCTGTTTTTTTAAAGTCTAAAACTTTTGTTTTTGTGTGGTGTGACTCAGTCACTGTTCTTATATTAAACCACACTGACTGATGATCACTGGATCCTAAACTTTCACCTACAGTAATATCTGATACCAAATCTCCATTTGTTAACACTAAAGCTAGTATGGCCTCTTTACGAGTTGGCTCCTCAACAACTTATTTTAGAGACAATCCCAATAGGGAGTTTAGAATATGTGTGCTCCTGGCACAAGTAGCTAATTTTGTTTTCCAATTTACATCAGGAAGATTAAAGTCACCCATGATGATAACTTCCCCCTTCATTGTCATTTTAGCTATTTCCTCAACTAGTAGATTATCTAACTCTTCAATTTGTCCTGGGGGCCTATAAATCACACCTACACGAGTTACTGTGTGATAACCAAATTCTAACGTAACCCAAACGGACTCTATGTTTGCCTCACTAACTTTTATTAGGCTAGATTTTATGCTATCCTTCACATACAAGACCACCCCTCCCCCTTTCTTTCCTATATAAAGAGTACTCTGGTATTGCTATGTCCCAGTCATTTTTCTCATTATACCATGTCTCAGTAACAGCGACTAAATCCACACTATCAGTTGCCATTATTGCCACAAGTTCATGGATTTTATTCCCTAAACTGCGAGCATTTGTAGACATGACTCTAAGCTTATCATTTTTTAACACACTTGCTACAGGCACCTTCTGTCTTTGTTTTGGGGGACAATTGGATTGATGTTTTATCACCCTTTTGCCCCCCCTCCTAGTTTAAATACATCCTAGCAAAACCTCTGAACTGCTCACTGAGAACATTTATTCCCTTTTGAGAAGGATGCAAACCATCTTTTTTGTACAGCTTATCTCCATTCCAAACAGAGCTACCATGAGAAATAAAGCCAAATCCTTGCTCCTGACACCATTCACCAAGCCACAAATTAAAGTCCCTAATACGCATCCGCCTGTCGTTCTGAGTGTTATGCACAGGCAGAACTTCAGAGAATGACAGTGTGGAAGCAACCTGCCGTATATCATTGGCAAAAACACTAAAAACTTCCTTAACCTCTGAAACCTCATTGCAAGCCAAGTCATTTGTCCCTAGATGGACAAGTACATCCAATTCCCCTTCCTGCTTTGCTTGCTTAACAATATTACAGATACGTCTCCTGTCTCTGTGAGCAGTAGCTTTCTCTACTCTAGGCTCCTCTGATCTTCATCTGCCCCGGTCTTCCCTGCAATTCCTTTGCCCTGGACTCCCTGCTCTTCCTCTGCCCCAGGCTCCCCTGTTCTTTCCCTGTTTTGGGCACTCCTGCTCAGGGCCGCCATCGGGGGGTGACAACCATGATGGTTGTCACGGGCCCGGCGGTCCTGGGGGGCCCGGACTGCTTTGGCAGTCCAGGGCCCCACAACTACTCTCTGCACCTATATATAGCGATGATCACTATAAATAGGTGGAGCCGTGGGCCCCCCCGGCTCCCTATACTTGCAGAGGGGGCCCAGCGGACTGGAGCTGTACTTGACAGCATTTCCCTCGCTCGAACTCCCGCGAGACGTGCGGCCGTGAGAGCGTTGCCATGGGTTACCACATCTCGCGGGAGTTAGAGCAAGGGAAATGTTGTAAAGTACAGCTGCAGTTTGCTGGGCCCCCTCTCCAAGTATAGGGAGCCGGGGGGCCCCACCATTCTACCGGACCACCAGGGATCATGGAATATTCCCCCCTCCCTGAACCAGGTAAGAAACAGGGAGGAGGAATAACTTTCATTACATTGCATGCATACACTAGTAAACACACACACACACTGCATTCACTACACTAACACACACACTGCATCCACTACACTAACACACACTCTGCATTTACTACACTAACACACACTGCATCCACAACACTAACACACACACTGCATTCATTACACTAGCACACACACTGCATTAACTACACTAACACACACACTGCATCCACTACACTAACACACACTCTGCATTCATTACACTAACACACACTCTGCATTCTCTACACTGACACACACTTTGCATTCACTACACTGACACTCTCTGCATTCACTACACTGACACACACACTGCATTCACTACACTAACACACACACACTGCATCCACTACACTGACACACACTCTGCACTCACTACACTGACACTCTCTGCATCCACTACACTAAAACACACTCTGCATTAATTACACTAACACACACTCTGCATTCACTACACTAACACACACACTGCATCCACTGCACTGACACACACTCTGCATTCACTACGCTGACACACACACACTGCATCCACAACACTAACACACACACTGCATTTACAACTCTAACACACACACACTGCATTCATTACACTAACACACACACTGCATCCACAACACTAACACACACTCTGCATTCATTACACTGACACACACACTGCATTCATTGCGGGGGGAGGCCAGCTTGTGCTTTGTCAGGGGCCCCAAAAATTCTGGTGGCCACATACGGACAAACACATACAAACTCACACACAGACACATACACACGCTAATGCACACAGTAACACATACACACATAGATGCACACACTAACACATAGATATACAGATAAATACTCTCACACACAAACACACAAACTCACACATATACACACATATACACATGTAATAATTTTATGTTGTTTATGCTGTTAAAGGGCCACTGCACCCATCCTGGCCCCTTTTTAGAAACACCATCGGGTAGCCCATGCACTTAGAGCCACCCAATGGACCCACAACTTGCAGGCCCTAACTGCACTGGCAGTAGCTAGACAGCTGATTCCACCATTACAGATTTTTTTTTTGCATACCCTTGAGAGGAACGCAAACCACAGGTTGGGAACTGCTGGCTTATTCAATGCCACCTCCAAATACTTCTAAGAAATCGTGTAATTTTGGACTGGAAGGGTAGGTTGGTTGATAGTTGGGACATTGGGAACCCCTAGCTACCTGGGAGTGTATGGTTTTTGAGTACACTTAGAGCTTACACTGCTAGCATTAAAATAATATAGTTTGATGAACTCTAACACATTTATATTACAACAATTTAGTCTGTTCTTAAACATATACCAGTTAATAAAAACAATGTTAATGATAACAATGATGACAAATCTTTTGTTGCAAAACATTATAGATTCCTCCAATAAACGTTTCACTAGTGTAACACAGATCATGAAATTAATATCTCTTTTAAAATCTAAAAATCTAATCTTTGGAATGATAAGAAGAAACTGTAGCTCCTTTGGGCAGCAGAATGGAATAGGTGTAATTGGAATCAAGACCTTCTGTGAGCTCTTTGAATGCTACCTGCTAAAACATACTTATATTTTGCCAATATACGAATATCCTAAGACCTCCGGGGTACATCACTAAGGAAGTGAAGTATTTACATTTTGTAGGAGAGGACATCATTATGTACCAAATTATAATTATAGAATGGAGATGTGATCAACCTCATAGTCTTTTCCCATTCCTGACCCTATCACCTACCCTTCTAAAAATAGTTTATCATTGCCTTATAGATGAACACGACATCTGATAACTCACACATTAAATGATTTCAACTTTGATGGACCTTGGACAATTCAGCAAACTTATCGACATATGTATTTGTTGAAATCTTGTAGGAGTAGCCAATAATACAGATCATATGTTGATAAAATATTTTAGTAAAGGGCAGTTGATATCCCTATGGCTCTCAAGTTATCATACGCTCGATTTTGAGTCGGTAGTAATAAGGTCACCTTGTCTCCTCGTTCAAGCATGGATTCGACTTGTCGTTGATTGAAGTGAATACTTTTTGGATCACTGGGAATTCTTCGGCCCAGCAAATGGGTAAAAGGCGTCACTAGCTACTTTGCCAAGAGTGCCAGTCTATGCAAAGTGCTTTACAATCAATAGGAAGTGATTGCACATTGTTTGTCATCGATAAACAGGAGGAATCCTTGACAAAATAATAAGCTGCAGCTGATGACAATCAAAGTGTACTGAATCACTGCTCGTGCGAGTTTGATTACATATCCTCTACCCGGCGTGGATGAGAAACTATCACAGCATCCAAATACTGCAAATAATATTAAGATACAAAAGAGGTTTTGAGCACAGAAAATCATATGCTGCGAGCAAGTCTGAAATGCATAGAAAATGCATTTTTGGCACTGCTCCACTGGTCCCCTATCATATTGGGTCCTTTAGATCAGAGCCTATATTTATATTTTTATTTATTGAAATGCATAGAAATGAAACTCTTTTGGACGCCTATCAGGGTTCTACATTGGAATGAAATGAGACTTTGTGCTGATGGATTTATACAAATTACAGTAAGTGTAAACTTGTAAATACCATGAAAAAGAGACAGTTAAACCTTAACGAGTCTTTTGAATGCCTTGTAAAAATGTCCCTTCTGCTGAAGCAAAAAGCTTGTCTTAAGTGATCTCTTGATACCATCACTGACGTAAAATGGTTGTCCTTTCTATATTCTAGGCCAGGAGTGCACAGCAAGGAAACGGTAGTTTTGAAATGAATCCTACCTATTGCTTGAAATGTTTGTTTTATAGTCCTTCATAGTGAATAGGGAGTGCTTCAATTCTTAAAGAACTTACATGTTTATGATATATGTCTGAGGATAGTGATTAAAATATGATGGCAATGCATGATGGGTAGGTATTTTACTATAACAGAAGAGACACTTGATGTGTATATCTCCTATGCAAGCACGCTGTCTTGGCGTCATACTTGACTCTGGCCTAACATTTGAGCCTCACATCCAGTTTGTTACCAAATCCTGTGGGTTCCAACTCAAAAACATAGCCCGCATCCACCCCTTTCTTACGCAAGATGCGACCAAAGAGCTTGTCCATGCTCTAGTAATTTCCTGCATGGATTACTGTAACCCTCTCCTCTCTAGTAAGTCCTCTCACATATCACCCCTCTGCCAGTCCTTACATTGGCTCCCTGTGTCCTATAGGAGTCAATTCAAAGTGCTAACCCATACATTTAAAGCACTAAACAATTCTAGCCCCTCTTATATCTACTCAATGATCAATAGGTATGCCCCTCCTCATTCCCTCTGCTCTGCCCGTGACCACCTCCTGACCACT